TTTTCTTATTCATAGTTTAGCATAAATATACTCTCTTAGAAATTTTAATTAGTGACATTGATTTTTAGGCGTAGATGCATCTTGTCTCACTTGCACTGGCCTATAGTCATATAGTCACTCTTTATTTGCTTATTAGCTATGAATTAATCCTTAACACTTTCTTTTGGAGTATGCTTGAGATTTGAATCCACATCATTCTATACTCCCACAGGTGGTACATTTGGTAACATTTTCCTAGGCTTCGTTTATACTTGTCTCACCATTCATCTTAGCCTCTTATCATGTTGTCACTATTTTCATTAGCATTAGATTATTAGCTCTTCATAATTACTCACTCCATTATGTGAATGTTCATTTCGTCATATGTCAATGCACTTGGCCTTTTAGTGTGTTTTTCATCTAACTTAACACCCCTGGAGTCACATCAATTCATCACATACATCTTAGGTTCACTTACATTTAAATGTACGTTGGACGTATGAATCCATACATACAAGCCATGAGGCTTCATTCATAATTCGTCTAAGTGACTCATACTTACCCAAGATTATGTAGTACAAGACTTATGCATCTTGTAAGTATGCCAAGGTCTCGAGTTTTATTCTTATGGGCGGCATATTTATTCACGTAAGACTTATTTATCAATACAAAATTGGTAAAGGGAATCCAATTTCGAATCTCTTGAGCAACACTTAGTCTCTTATTAAATTTTTTATTTATATTTTTCAGCTTGGAGACTTGAGGTCAAATCCCAACACTACACTTCTTTTTCCTTTCTTTTTCTTTCCTCTCTTTTTCGATTGAGGCCAAGAAATTGTGGGATCGATCCTCCACAACCTCATTTACTATTATTTAATTTTTCTCCAAACTCCCTCACCTATCCAAGAGGTTGTGGTTTCGATCCCCACTCTCCCCATTTTTTCCCCTTTTTCTTTTGTTTCTTCACCAGCCTTACCCCATTTCAAATCCCCCTTACGTCATTTTAATTATTAATTTTCAGCAGCCTTCATATGGTGAGGTCTCAGATTCATCCTTGATGACTTCACATATTTAAAATAATTTTTAAAATCTCAATTTTCTTCCAGTAGCTTAGACGGACCAATTTCCAGAAAATATGGAAATTTTGTCGCACTTCCCATTCCATTTCCTCAACATTTTATACGTTAAATTTTTTGATAATTCATTGGACATTTCGTACGTTAATTTTGTGCATTTTTGTGGTTACATTTGATCAAGAATTTTCACTCAATTAAGAAACATTGCACCAATTATGAACATCACAATTTATTTCAAGTAATGGCATACAACACAAGAACTTAATATGCATATTACACGCATCAACCCATGACCAAACTCACGGCATACACAATGCACACACACGTTGAACACAAAGTTTCGGAAAGCATGCTTATTACTCACTAAATCCAAACATAAATGAACATAATCATCACAAAAACACATCACATCCCTAGATTCTACAAGCAAAACATACCCAACCTACAAAATCGACGGGAGCTAGTGACAGGGACATGCAACGGGGAACATTCCTAGTTTTCGAATTTGAATTCGACTGAATCCTAGGGGTCTCTTGGGAAAGGGAACAAGAGGAATAAAACCCATACCTTTTTTCATCGTTTAACACCTTCCAAATCTGATCTCAAGTGCTGCCAACACCCACGATAAACAAATGCTTCTCCAACAAAAATTATGTGCACACCGTTTGAAAAATGCTTTTGCTTTTTCGTTTTTAGTTTAGTTTTTCTTTTGAGTTTTTTTGTGCAAGTTCTTCAAGTGATGAACTTTAATTTTTGCTACTTTTTGCTGTATGATAAACGTGAGAATGAGAGTGAGAGACGTGAGAATGAGAGTGAGAGACGTGAGAATGAGAGTTGAGAGAAATGAGAGTAAGTTTAGGAGTAGGAGTTTTAGTTGAAGACATAGTCAAACTAGGACTCTTTGTTATGTATTATTTTATTATTAATTTTTTAGTAAAAATATGATTTTCCCTTACTTAAATCAGAAATTTAAATACCAATTAATTCAACTTAATCATTAAATACAATTTAATTCAATTTAATCATTGCTTTCACCAATCTAGGCATTAAAGGTACATTTAGGCATTACTTTGCATAGTTATTTTAAGGTTGTTACACGATCGATGAACTTCCCACTTGTGCTATGATCAACATAGGTGCGGAGGCTAACATCATGACCAAGACCAAAAAAACAAAGTTAGGATTGAGTTGAACTCCATGTAACACCCACCCCAAAACTATCAACGCACCACCAACTCTCATGTGTAGAGTATCTCATGGTGAATACAAGACTTGGCTTTCCATGTAGAAGCGATGCTCCGTAGTCATAGCAGCATCAAGTAGGGGGATTGTCATGAACCGCCAGTTTGTCATCCCGCTTAGGCATAAAATTAAAGTATAAGTGAGCTAGCCTAATTGGAAGGATCTAGAGTCTTGGAGAGGTTTCTGGAAGACTATAAATACACAAGAAGAATTCTTGGAAGTCTTTAGTACTCTCTAGTCTTGTGGAGAATTCTTATAACAAGACTAGACTGCAAATATATAGGGACTTGTTTAGAAATTTTTATGTACACTTTATCCACTTGGAGAGTAGTATAAATAGAAGTATCTCATTTGAAATTGAAGCAATCAAGTGTAAAGCATTCACCAAGCAATAAAAAATGTCTTCTTACAAATGCTATTGTATCTTTCTTCATTCTTTTACCGATCTTAGATTGAAAAGGTTTAATTGATCTTGAAAGTTCATGAAAGCGTCATGAGTAAGTTGTCAAATGTCGTACGGAGCATTAGTTGAAGTTTAAGTTTGTGACATTGTTGCAACCCAAAAAATTAACTATGATAAACTAGAGTCTATCATGTATTTAATGAGTTAATAGGGTGTTAAGATGATGAATAATAGCTTTAGAAGTAAGTTTGAAGAGTTTGTAAGTGAAATGTCGAAGAACGACCAAGGCGTTCGGAAGCTAGTCTTGTGTGTGCTAGTGTGACTTTGCATGTTTTATGTGTTATTTGGTGTCTAAAATGATTGGAGGGGTCCCTAGCATCTAGATGGACATGTCTAGGATCGAAACTTTTGGGTACAACTCCCCAAGAACCATCCTAAGGTTCCTTACCCTCAAACAATATTCTGGCTCAAAACTACCCTTCAAGTCTTACTATTGGGTCATTCATACCCTTCTAACTAATAGAAGTGTGTTAAGTGTGGACATCACATGGATGACGTGTAAGCGCCAGGATTTCGTGCATTTTCTAGCTAGTCTCTCTCGCCTCTCTCGCTTATACCAATAGAAATGTATAAACTGTGTTTTTGTTTGTATAAAACGAGAGAAAATTGTATATACACATGCAAAAACATATGTCTTAGTCCTATACACTTATGATTATACAATACAAATATTTCCCTGCTCAGCTCTCTTTTTCCTTTCTCTCTTTGTCACTTTGTACACATACAAATTATACAATTGATATTTTATATATGTATACCGAAATAAAAATATTTATGTTTGTTATGGAGTGAAATTATGCAAACTATAATTATTAACTTACAAATATAATTTTTGTGTTTGCTAAGATGGTATGGAGGCACAAGAGGAGTTACACCACTTTCTCTATATTCAATCTATATTCATTTAATTTATGCCATCTATATATTTTATTTTTAACTAAAAGAAAGAAAACCTAAGATAAGAATTAAAATGTGTTGGTATTGTTGTTGCTGCTGATGTTGTTGTTGTTGCTGTTGTTGTTGCTATTGTTGTTGTTGTTGTTGTTGAATGGCAGTCTGTGATATATATGGAGACTTTATAAAGTAAAGAATCTATGACATTATTTAGTTTTATATTAATAACTTCAAAATTGGGGGGCCTAAATTTTTTTATATTTTTTTATGAGGTTATATATATATATATATATATATATATATATAGGAAGAATTTATTTCATTGTATTTTATATTTTTAATTTTCTATTTAATTGTTCTTATTCAAATTAATATACACTATAAGTTATATTGGTACTTCTTCATTTAGCTTGGAATGATACTCGTGTGTGTGTGTGTATATATATATATATAAGAATTTATGTCATTGTATTTTATATTTTTAATGTTTTATTTATTTGTTCTTATTCAAATTAATATACACTATAAGTTATATCGGTACTTCTTCATTTAGCTTGGAATGATACTCACCTGTCCTTTGTCAAATTAAAGAACGTCATGTATAAGATACTAAAAGAATTATAAGCAAGATAAAGTTATAAACAAATGTTTAATATATTAAAAAAATTATTCAATAAAATATATGAAATTAATACTCAATTATATGTTGGTTTTTTTTTAATAACCGCGCTTCGCGATCAAGTGCACGTATAATAATTGTAAATAAGTATTGTATATTCAATTAGATCCATAAATCATATACATAAATAAATATGAAAATTACATAAAGAAAAAAAATACTCCTAAATAATTTATTTGTAGAGGATAAATAGTAAGATCGTGCCTACAAACTTTGTTGAAGGCTATCAAAGTCACTAATTAATATCAAGCTCTTTATTAGCTTTTTCTTTTCTTTTTTTTTAACTTTGATGTGCACTCTTTAAACCTTAATTTAATTCACCCATTTATTTGTGGATTGATCATATGAATTACTTATTGAAAATTTCCACCAAAGATTTACGGCAAGGGAAGGTATTTGAACACTCCACTTGTCATTTCCTTGTTGAATTTTTTTTGTGCGTTTCTCATTTGTTTTTCTTCTCCTCCTCTTTTTATTTTTTCTTCTTTTATTTTTTACCCTTTTCTTCGGATTAATCAAATGAAATACTTATTGAAAATTTCCACCAAAGATTTATGGCAAGTGAAGGTATTTGAACACTCCACTTGTCATTTCCTTGTTGAAATTTTTTGTGTGTTTCTGGTTTGTTTTTCTTCTCCTCCTCTTTTTATTTTTTTCTTCTTTTATTTTTTACCCTTTTCTTCATTCACCTCACTCCTATTTTTTTCCCTTCTCCGGCAGGCCCACAAAAATTTAAAAAAAAAACAAAAAAAAGAGGAAAAATTAAGTTCCTTCTTCACGCTTCAAAATTAATGGATCTGAGGAGAAATATAAACTTGATTCTTTTGTTAGTTTTGTTGGGCCATCATGTGAAGGGAGAAAACGTTGTGTTCAATGTGAAACACAAATTTGGTGGGCGTGGAGGTGTGAGTTTGAAAGAACTGAAAGCCCACGATGTTCATCGTCACGGTAGAATGCTCGGTGCAGCCGATTTTCAATTAGGTGGCAATGGCAGTCCAACCAGTTCAGTGTTAGTTCCTTTTTTTATATATTCATACATATATGTATATTATAACATGTAAACAAACATTTAAAAATGTTTGTGATATGCAGATTATATTTCACTAAGCTTTCAATTGGTACACCTTCCAAGGACTACCATGTTCAAGTAGATACTGGAAGTGACCTTTTATGGCTAAGTTGTGCGGGATGTGATAACTGTCCTAAAGAAAGCACACTCGGGGTAAATATATATATATATATATATATATATATATATATAATCAATCTTTTTAATTTGAATTTCGTTGATACATATATTGAATAGTTTTTTTCGAATAATAATAATAGATAGATATGGCACAATATAACTTACAAGCATCAACGAGTGGGAAATCTATTACTTGTGATCAAGATGTTTGTGCTACAATGTTTGAAGCAACCAGCTCAGACTGCAAGGTAGCAAAACCGTGTGAATATATGGTTACTTACGGAGATGGAAGCACAAGCGGAGGACACTTTGTAAAAGATAACATCAATTTAGATCAAGTCTCTGCCGGAGATAATAAAACATCACCCCTCCAAGGAAATGTAACATTTGGGTACGTATAAGTCGTCCTATTTCCTACCTGTTAATTACGTGCTAGACAGAAATTTATGTTACCTGTTTTTTATATCTTCCAAGATAGGTGCTCGTCTAAACAATCTGGAGGCCTAGGTACATCTACTAATGCAGTTGATGGGATAATTGGTTTTGGAGCAGCAAAAACGTCTGTTATCTCACAATTAGCTGCTGCTGGAACTGTCAAAAGAGTATTTTCACATTGCCTCAATGGAAATAGTGGAGGTGGTATATTTGCTATTGGACAACTAGTTGAACCAAAAGTAAATACAACCCCATTACTCACAAATCGGTATGTATGTATGTCGAATCAATTGGAGTTTTATGTGCCAAAATGTACTTCAATCTTCACAAATTTAATACTACTACTTAGGGCTGTGGAAATAAACTCATAAACCGCCCAGAATTTTAAGGGTTGGGCGTAAATTCTCAATTGAGCCCAATTCAATCTCCAATTTCAACCAGTTTTTTATTCAAATCATTGTAATATTTCCAATTTCAACTCAGCCCGCCCATTTGGCAGTTTTGTGCTTAGTTACACAAGCAGTAGCACATCTAACGTACTAACATGATAAATACTTATTGAATTTAAATGTTTTAGGCAACATTATACTGTTTCTCTCAAGAATATTGAGGTTGACGGTGAAGTTCTAAACATTCCGACTTCCATATTTGAGTCGAAGTATAGCGAAGCAGCAATAATTGACAGTGGAACAACTTTAGCATATCTTCCAAGCAATGTCTATAATGCTGTCATGGGAAAGGTAACCTCAACTTCAAAATATATTTAGTCTTGTTTACTGTTTGATTTTTTTCATTCTCTGCTCCTATTATAGCTTATGGCAAAGCAACCAAAATTGAAGACTCATCATCATGAAGGGAACTTTGAGTGCTTTTCATACAGTGGAAAGTAAGGTTTTCATAATTAAGTTTGAAAATTTATTTCTACTGTGATCAACCTAATATTTGTCTAATCAGCTGGTACGGTGCAGTGTTGACAATGATTTCCCCGTTGTAACATTTAAGTTCATGGGAAATCTTACTTTGACGGTCTATCCCCACGATTATCTTTTCAAACTTCATGTAAGTAATCTAATTATACATTCTGTCTTGTTTATTATGTGAAATGGCATAACATAGCTCCTAATAAATGTTGACATATTTTGCTATTAGGCTGTAGGGGCATTTTTGCCAGCATAGATGACGTATGAATTAAAAGCCTCTTTTATTGTTAAAATTTTAGGGACTAAATATACTCTTAGCATGGTGTGATATTTGGCCAAGCCTGCATGGTTTATCCCTAAAGGCTTCACTTCACATTATTAAGAGATCATACACTTTATAACTTCTATGTAATTTTACAATCCTTTAATTTTATCCTACGAATATGGAACACACAACATTTAATCATATCATGTAATGGCTCAATTTGGCAGGACGGTGACTGGTGTATTGGTTGGCAAGAGGGAATCGAGGGAAAGGATGGAGATGATCTTTTTCTGTTAGGAGGTATCTCTTTACCCCTTTCTCAATTTGTCGAGATAAATGAGAAGAAAAATACTAGTAGTTAACGTTTGTTTTGATGCAGATCTTGTGCTATCAAACAAGCTTTTTGTGTATGATCTTGAAAAAAAGACGCTTGGGTGGACTCAATATGACTGTGAGTATAGTTACAGTAAATTTGTATTCTGTGTAAGTTGTAGCAATTTTTTATTTTATTTTGAGTTCAATACCATGGTTGATTTTCAGGTTCTTCCAACATTAAGGTGAAAGATGATAGCTCTGAAAATGTGTATACAGTGGGAGCTCATAATATTTCATCAGCATCTACTACTACTTTTACATTATTCCTCACACTTATCTCTTTCCTATGTTATTTCTTCAACTAGTACAACATGTACCATAATTACATTACATATAACAATCCAACATTTATGTTTATTCTTATAATATAATCGGTTTTGCTCTTAATTTTTATTTTATGTTTTTTGAATGTCATGCACAATCAATGTATTGGATGCTTCCTATTCCATTGTCATTTTGTTTCAATATCAAATTCATCTAATTCCCGATTTTTTTTTAGGGAAAAGACTCGAATATGTCATCGAACTTTTAGAAAAAAACTCATTTATGTCATCAGTTAAAAATTGGTTCATCTATGTCATTGCCGTTTAAGAAAAGGCTTATCCAGTCATTATTTTTTAACTTTGATTTCGTAAAATAATTCTTTACACTCCAAACAACTTTTAACATTGTTCAGTTGAGCTTTTTGGATCAAAATACTCTTTTTTTTCTTCTTCTTTATTGAGAACACTTAGAACACGTAAAGAAAATCAATAAATATCAAATTTCAAATTTCTTTACGAAATCCCCTCGTATTTTTCTTTACGAAATACAATCTTACTCAATAAGATCCACTTGAATATCTAGCTCGGAGGGAAGCTACTCTTGAAATACGAGGGGACTTCGTAAAGAATTGAATAGGGCTACTCTTCAAATTTCAAATTTCTTTACGAAATCCCCTCGTATTTTTACACGTAAAAAACACGAATCAAAGCGAATTTTTAAAATTTTGGGATTGATTTTTATTTTATTTTTGGATTTTTTTTTTTTGAATAGGGGTGGATTTTTTAAATTCAAGACATGATTTTAGATTTTTTTAAAAAAAATCATATGAGCATGAATTGAATTCTCCTTCCAAAATCTATTTGTTATCCCTTGGTCTAAAGGTCTTTGACGAGTTTATCATTTATTCTTGTTATTTTAATTGAATGTGTCTCATCTCGAAAATACGTCGAAAAATACTTATGTCAATTGTCGAATCAATTTTTTTTTATGACAAGGGAAACCTGCAGCACTACTCTTTGGGTGCGCACAGGGTAAAACCCTTACTCCTATGCAATAGCTCGCAAACCACATAGGAGAGGTAACCTGCACTAGGCAAGCCTGGTGCGCCGAGCTCGACCAAGAAGGCAAACTTCTTGCTTTTGCTGGCAAGGGGTTTTGAACTTGAAACCTACAACATGGAAGTCCAAAGCTCAAACCACTGGGCCACTCCGAGGGGTCAATTGTTGAATTAGAATTAGAATTACAATCATAATTAGTGGCTTGTAATTCTTTTAGCTCTTCAACCACCCCTACATTGTTTATTGTAGGATTCCACATCTACCTCATTAGTCGTTGGATATTGTTTTGCATACAACTGACAAAGGGATTAGCTACACTATGTTAGGGTGTCCCCTCAAACATCTTTTATCAGAAAATTGCATCAAATATATAAGTAAAATGATATTTTAAATGAGTAAACAAGACGTATTGGACATCCTTTAAACAACAAGTGTTCTTAACCCATTGAATTTTGGCGCTCAATTAAAGGTGAGGCAAATAGCTTGTGTGAGTAAGTTTGATTCCCTACAACTACATTTTATTTTTTCATTTTAAAAGAGCAATTAATTAATAAATCTGCTATTTTTTTATAATTAAAAGCTAATATTATCTATTAAAATAATCTTAAATTAGACATTTTACAACATAAATTTTAAGGTAAAAAAAGTTTAGTATCCAATTAAATTTCTAATCGATTTGATTTTTAATGTTTTTTCTTTTTGATAAAATTTGAAATAAAAATAATTATTCAATTTAAAGTTAATCAGAAAATCCTATTCTTTTTTTTTCTATAGGGCTATTAAAAGTGATCAATGTTTTGTATGGAATTTCTTTTAAAAATTTCGCGTAATTCTATTCTTTCTTTCATTTTCTCGGTGAAATCTTAAGTATTAATGTGATTTTATTCCAAAATGAACTTCATTTTTTTTATGTCGGTTCGCTTCTATTGAATAAACATTAATATCCAAGCTAAATACTATATAAATTTTTTTAAAAAAAATAATTACCTATACAATTTTTGTACACCCTTCATGAAACATCTAGCTCTGCCATTGCGGCTAACTATATTTAGAAAGTATAGTTGAGAGTTATTTAAACTCATATTTCTAATTTTGCTTAACCACCTCCTTAAGTTCTCCTGTAGTCAGAAATTCATGAAAATATTGTTATGAACCAATCTTTGCCCAAAGTCAACAGCTATACGAATGTCACACAACTAGCTATTGGATCGAAAAGAAGCAACAAAATTAGAAGGCCTTCACAAAGGTTGCTTTGAGAACCAGACCTAATAACCATCTAGTTAAAAAGGATGATGGATGAGAAAAAACGACTTAGGCAAAACAGTTATGGAGTATCTGTATTCCTCATTCCCTTTCTTTATCAAGTTCTGATTCTTATCCCTTTCTTCTTGTTCTTCAGTTTCCATTTTAGTACTTAAATTCCTTTTTAGCTTCAATTACGATTTCGCAAATAGATTTATCATTTGTTTGAATTTGAATTGTGTTTGTTTTTCTATTGGGTTTGGTACATATAATCTAAATGTTTTGACAATTTTAGCATTGTGATATGTGAGTACTAAACTTGTAATGTTGGGGTATGGTCTATCCACTTCTTACCAAATGTTGTACCTCCATCGTTTGAAATATACTTTGTATTGCATCATTGCAACGTATCATATCCTGTCTTTTGAAGATGCATTCCTCATCTGTTCTTTCACTCCACAATGAAACTTGCTGCCTTTAAAATCTTGATCCTCCAAACAGCACACATTAAGGGTCTGTTTGGTATGAAGAAAAACATTTTCTGGAAAATATCTTTCAAGTTTCTCATGTTTGGTTGGGTCAATATTTTCCAAATCAACTTATTTTCCTCAAATTTAAGAAAAACGACTTCCCTTCAAAATTTAAGAAAAAAATTCAAAATGCTTTTCCAATCTCCCCCTACCCACCCCACCCTACCAGCCCCCTACCCACCCCACCCTACCAGCCCCTACCCACCCCTACCCCGACCCACCCCTACCAGCCCCCTACCCCTAAAAACATTTAAGTTTATTTTTTATGAAATACTTTAAACTACCCTCACTCTTGACCCCCTCTCATTTGAAAAATAATACTATAAGTTTGTTTTTTAAAAAAATATTTTCAACTTCAAAAATTCATTTTTCACACCTATCATCGACCACCCACCCACCCCTACCAACCCCTACCCCCCCCCCCCCCAAAAAAA